GTCAGCATCTCACGAGCCACCGTAAGGCGACGAAGCACAACTGACGCCAACAGTCTCGTTACAACCGGGGTCAAGCTGATCCCCCTGTGGTTACCACACTCACTACCACACTACTATGATGATGACTTACTGCTGTCGGATCAGGACAGCCCCTTGTAGCCGAGGTGGGACTCTTTAGTCGTTGGGTCCGGGCAGGGTCCCCTAAGAAAACCTCACACCCCCCAATGTCTTGTGGGTCAAACTTTCGAGTCAAAGGCTCAAGGTGAGGAACCTCAAATAAATTTGCTTCCTGGGCCTGGGCAACCGGAAAGCCCACACACTTCTGTGTCTACTGTTGTCCCTCCTCAACCCATTCCCACCACACAACCAAATGCTGCTGGGTCATTTGACTTATGGGGGCGAGATGGCCCAAGTGTTTAGCGAATTCACTGACCGGAGGCTCCTTGATTCGAATCCGATTTTTGCCTCTTGACCTTCCCTATCTAGGCTTGGGCAACCTGGCTGTATCCCAGCTCTCGTGCTTTCTTCTGGTGGCATGGCAGTTAGGCACCGAAAGGGTGCTACAGCTGAGCGATTTTTTTACTTTCAGTTATCTGGCCGATTTGCCCTATGCACCCTGCTACCTATTAACAATAAACAACAACAACAAAATCCGAGAGATTCTTCCTGCATAGGAGCTTTCAACTTCAACAGGCAATGCTCGCTGAAACCCTATACTTCCTTAAAATTGATGTATGTTGTGTCTCCCAAACGCTTATATAAGATTCAAGCCTGGTTATGCGTATCAGAGCGCTAAGGACTAGGTCAGCTCTTCTTACCATTCTCCCTCCTTTTGTCTGATGATCCAGAAATGATGACTCGTGGACTATATGCCATGGGAGCCGCACTCAGCCGCGGAGCTAAGCGCGTTTTGTTGGATTGGATTCCAGGGAACAACCGTCTTTGCACCGTTCGATTACCCAGCTCAACGGGGCTCAATGCCCATTGACATAAAAAACGGCGCCTGTTTGTAATGCCGACCAACCAGACTGTAGTTCAGACGCTCCGCCACGAAGAGACTGGACCTTATCGTGGTGAGAGTCATTATGGCTCCTTCGTTGAGCAATAAACACTGGCATTGTGATCCTTGCGGGCGGTATTAATGTCCAAGTCGGTCGTCTGAGCTTCTTGGAATCGCATTTTGGCGTTGAATTTTGAGTCGACATTCGTCGCGCAGACAACGGAGAGCGACTCCTCCATTTGTGTGCTGATCGCCAACTGTTTCTGGCCCGTGCTGTATGTCCGATTCCTCCGGTACAGTCAAATGACTTATAGATATCGCGGAATCCCTTACCCATGATTGATGCCTGAAAGTCCATACAAGCAGGCAATGAGTACGAGGGCGCGCAAATCCCTCAATCACCAAGTCTAAGGAAATACCGAGGACTCTAGAGATGCAGAAGGATTTTCTCCTGGAAACAACTTGGCTATATATTAACTGATACGACCGAACACTTCGAAGAACATTTAAGATGGCCTCCCGCAACATAGCCTGTGGAGGTAATGCACACGAGTGAAGAGAATGTAAACATTGATCTCCCGTCATAAGAAGGAATACAGTAAGAAATATCTGTCCTGAAACGTAAGAAAGCACTCGGACCGGACGATCTGTATTTAGCCCTGTTCAAAGAAGGCGAGAACCCCTGGTGATCCGTCTAACAAAACTCATTTGTGTGATATGGAACGAAGAAAAAGTGCCTGCAGCATGGGGATTATCGACAGTAATTCCTACCTTCAAAAACGTACGCGGGCGCTGTGCGAAGATCACCGTGGCAAGATGGACCGGGGCGAGATGGCCCAAGTGGTTAGAGCGCAATTTACTGACCGGAAGGTCCGTGGTTCGAATCCGACCGCCACTCGACTTCCACTGTCTAGGCTTGGGCGACCTGGCAGTATCCCAGCCCTCGTGCTTCCTTCGGGTGGCATGGCAGGTAGGCACCGGAAGGGTGCTACAGCTGAACGCTTTCTTTCTCCTTTCTTTCTCTTCGTGTGGCATGGCAGCTAGATGCCGAAAGGGTGCTACAGCTAGACGAATGGTTAGAGACATTGTCAGACATGGCCCAGCCGCGCCCTCGATCGCGCTCGTGCATCCAGTGCATAGCCCTCTCTCGATCTCCGCACTTGAAAGTCTACTGGCGACCTTGTATTTATGTATTAATTATATCAGCTGCTGCCTCCAATGCACAGCTATCTACCCCACCTCCACAAATCATCGGTGAACGAAAACGTGGCAGCTATAACCACTGTAGGACAAGTGCACAGTTTTTGCGGTTGGTGATGATGCGCTTGCCCTAATCTAATCCCGAAACTCCTCCACTTTGACATATAGCTTCATGTATTTGTTTACTCCTTGGAGCTCATTTTTTCACACTTTATTCCAAGGCACAGTTATGATGTTCACTTATTGCAACATTGGGTATTAATATTCTCCAGTTGAACTCATGGTCGATCGACCAGTTTTGCAAGGATAACAGAGACATGAAAAAAACCTTTCACCTTGATTTTATGTAGATTTCGTTACAAATCAGGAAGTGATTGGCGGAAAGTAAGCTTTTTAAGACTGTTATACTGAAGCCAACGCGGTCGTTAAGTGCTCCAACGCTGCCAGAGTCATCGAGCACCGCTTTTGCTGGAAAGCGTTCTGAATCGAACAAGTGACCCACGTGACATCGAATAACTATCGTCTTCTGAGTTCCTCAACGCCTTATGCGTATTGCCGCTGAATAGAGACGAGTAGAGCTGTTACCATTATTGAAATCTGCAGGCGTAGTTCTAAAGCTCCGGACGTTCGTCCCTATCGGAGAGCTCAAAGGTTCAGAAAGGTTAACACACTGGTATGGTTAGTCTAACTTCCGGAAAATGATTTGCGGTCTTTACTAGATCCCCTGCCTAATGGCCTTTATGAAATCAACTGATAATATGTCAGTTGGTTACGTCTTCGGTGTTTCGCTTGTTTTTTTCCACAAAAAATTAAATCACCTATTTTTCAGCTTTGACTCGCACGAACTCAGATGATTTGTACCACGTGCAACCTATTTTCCTAAATCACGGCAATGGAAAAGCGCGAAGGGCTCAGGGAAGCACCTAGACGTGTTTTGGATGCTGCAGCTCGAGAACGTCGGCAAAGGAAGGCTTTGGAGTTGTTAGAACAAGATAATCACATTGATGAACCACAGTCCGACATAAAACTAACCAAAAGGCCTCATTTCGGCGATGTAAGTTTGGGTTTTCAATTTCTAGTTATATTCGGTTTTACTTAAGGAAGATGATGATCCTGTTTCTGCACAGAAGAAGAAGAAAAAGCGCCGAGTGTCAAGCATGCGTTCCCGAGGACGAAAAACGTTGGAACTCTTGTTGGACGAAGAATATCAGGCAACCAAAGGAGGAACCACAGGACCATGTTATTTCACGGCAGCAGCCCCACCAAGCAGACTTCCATGTCGCAAGTTTTGTAACGTTTGCGGTTTTAAAGGCATTTACAATTGCGTTGTCTGTCACATACCTTACTGCAGCAAGAAATGCTACGAAATACACGCAGACACAAGATGTATGAAGTGGGTCGCTTGAGTTCTACACATTTATGAGTGAACTTTGAGTTATTTTCGCTTCGATTTGTGGTTGATATTTTTCTCACATTTTTGACTTTTTCATAATTTTCAAATAAAAGTTCGACAGTCCTCAATTTTTACCTTATATTCAATTCGGGATAGGAACTGTAGCGCTGGCATTCGGATAATCAGGAGGTATATATGGATCTTACGGGTCGGTCTTGGAAGGCACATAGGACTCGGTGCTATCGGAGTCACGCTTTTCCGCGACCGAGAAACAGAAAGATCCCCAGCATGTAGTTTATCAGAAAGTTGTGCAGGGTACGGAAATAGTCCAAATGAGAGCACAGTTGGGACCATTGTTTCCTGGTTATGACTTTTTGGGGCTCGTTGGATGCACCTGTAATGGAGGGATACGTTGTACGTCAATCAATGACATAGATCTGTCATCTTGTGTAATCTGATTTTGAATTGCCTTACAATATCTTCTCCTGTACCTGAGCGTTCTTTAAAACCAACGAGAATGGCACCCTTGTTGGATGGACGCATCTCCACTCTATGGTCGGCAGCTGGAAGACACCGATGTCAATAGGTCAGACAACGGTCTACACTGTATGTATTGCAGGCCATTGTGGTTGTGGAAAGGAAACAGATAACAGGTATTTTCTGGTCTCCTTTGGTTACACAGGGTCCTTGGCACATAATGCAACTTCACAGACAACCGATTCTGCTCTGGGATAGGGTAGAAACGCAGATGCTCGCTTCATTTCCCTGGTACTGATAAGCAGGCTGATTGCTTTCATAAGATATATATGTTGCTTAAAATGACTTCGCAGTGATGAACGTACTGATTGCTACCGGGGAATTCCGCTGAGATGACAGGGGTCCCCGTGTACAATGGAAATCGCAGACGTGACTAATTTGTAGTCATCCATCCGTTTCTGGTTGCCGAGATATTTTAAACCCCAGTGCTCTTTATCACGATCTACGATGGTGCTGCGTGCACACCGTAAAAAATCCCAAATTCCTGTGGATAATCAAACTGCTTGGTTCTACCTGGCCCTATAGTCGGCTCGTTAGAAACCTTATCTTAAGATCTCCACATTTCTCATGTTCACGCTCTTTTGCAGGATATGCACTTCAAACTACTTCTATGTTTAGACTCTCATGTGTCTCACTCATAGATATTGAGCGATTGAGCGCTAACTGTATGTTTTTGGGATTTTTTTCCGCTGAGTTCAGAGTGCATTTGCTAGCCCCCTTCCATCTGAAGGTCTTCACACTGATTGCTATTATCTTAAAGCTTGCTGAAAATTTTTCATATTGCTTTTGGACCACAGCGCCCATTCCGTCCATGAATGCATGACCAAAAACGATATCGGAATTCTACAAACGCAAGGCGCAGAGATCGAAGACAGCTGAGGCAGCATGATGGATGACACGGCATATTTTCACCGCCATTTGAGCTCACACAGATCCGAAGTTAGAAAGAGCTCGGCAGAGAAACATGTACTTGGGCCGCACATTAGACACCAACACTGACAATAGGACCGTGACAAATTACAAAGGGGACAGTAGGAGCAATGGTCTGGTTTTAAAACATCTCGACTAAGGCACGGCATAATTACAAACATACGGACATTAGTAGCAAGCTGTAACAGTTCGGAGTCCTTTCGAGAACAGCTACAAGATCGATGTGATGGCCTCTGAACTGGCAAAATACTATAAATAATGAGTAGAGGACGAGAAAGGCCACTGGGGGCCGTCAGAAAAGCAAACCGAAGGCGTTACAGACAGGGCGGTCGACAGGCGCCGAAAAATGGTTCAAAGTGTACGTCGCGCCATGTATCGTCATACCCCAAGATGTGCGGAAATGCACCACAGTCAGACACCGGAGACGGATCTATAGATGATGAAGACAACCTTGGATTTGTGCAGAGTAGAGCAGCCTTGGTCACGTGGCTCGTTATGGGTTGAAATTCCGTCAACCACCCACGTTTGATTCCAGGCCAGATCAAATCTCCCCTGAGATGATGTACAGTTTGAGCATCTTGATTCCTATAGGGGCTCAACAGCACTGTGATGATTCAGCGCGGCGTTTTAGTATATCGTGCTTGTGATGGTGCCGGTCATGGTGCTTTGTTGTTACCTTAGTACAGATCACATCACTTAGTATGAGTTTGGCCTAGGCTTTACTACTGTCGATGACCACTATTACATCCTTTGCATGCGCCAATGGTTTCCGGGTGTTCAGTTGTCTCCACCTCTTTTGACAGTCATAGAGTATCACCGTTATTTCGCGTGTGAACGCTGTTTCCTTAAAAGTGTCTTCTCCAGTTGGCATCGTGTCTCATACTCTGTGGGCTCGTGAGTCCTAGGACAACTTAATTGTGGGGGGGGAGGACTTGGGTGAGATTAAGTGCACCTGAGATTCAAGCTAATTCTGTTAGTGTTTCCTCTTTCTGATAACCGCACACCACCACGTATCAGCTCGACTGATCCAAAACCGTTCTCCACACTCTTGCCAGTTCCACGCCCTCCATTCTAATAACAAGGATGCTTAATGGTTTCTACCTCCTCAGCTATCAGTCCCTGTGGCGTAGATCGTAGTTCCCGCCTCAGAGATTCTACACTTTCTAGATCTGTTTTGTGTCCCGTGTCCAGTGCATGTCCGGCCATTGCCGAGTCTTTCAATAACGCTATGGGTTCATCTGCGTTTATCGGCCGCCTGGTTATTTTTCTCCTGTGCTCCAATTCTGGTGTGAAGTTCCCAGGCCGTCCATCCTATATAGACCTTAGTGTGGTCGTCACACGTAATTTTGTAGACGCAGTCCCCGGTTCTGTTAGCCGAGAGACGATCTTTCAACTGCATCAGTGCAGAGCGCAGTATTTCCCTTCTGGAAAACCACTCTTATGTTAGCCGTGTTTAGAATCCTTCGAATGATCTCCGATATCCTAAGTTTATGTGGAATAACAGCAGTCCCGATCCATTCTCTGTTGGGTTTCGCCACTGGTACCAATACCTTTCGCAATTGACGCCTAATCAAACTAGCCGGATATCCACTACCCAGAACTATGTTCTTTACTTCAATTTGGACCACTCCTCGGTCAACCGCTTCAGTGCATGGGGCCCTTACTCGACTTGATGGAATAGTACTAGTGAACGCCACCTTTGGATGAGCCGATGAGTAGTTTAAAACCGTCCCAGTGACAGTTCGCTTCTCATACACTGTGGTTTTTAGTTACCCTCCGACCTAGGGATTTGACCAAGTGACTACTTATGAGTGTTGAGTTGCACAACGAAAAGACGGACTGTGACACGCAATGATTTTCTATTGTCTCCCCAGTACTTAGACCATTCACCGAAAGAGCGGGTTTCATAACCGCTTTCAAGACAAACTTTTTCACGTGATTACGGATCGTGTAAATCAGCCGACCTATTGAATCACCAAGTTCAAGGTAGCTCGCAATTCAGAACAGATTGGTTTGGAACCCATACTGAGAGCTTCGATGGACTTACTGCGTACCTCAGAACGCGTAAATTTCGGTGGCGAAGAAGTATACTAAACGATGACATGAAATTAGCTTAGACTGAGGCAAGAAAATGTCCGATTATGTTTTTTTTTCAACCTACAAGCCGATCCCCTACTTTGAAAAAAGACAATTTTTGTACTTTCCATTCTAGTGGAAAGACACCCATTGGCTCTGCAGGGAAGTCAGTTACATGTAATTCGTTGTAACAGTGTGGTTTGGCCCGCATTAGGTTGGTCTCTTTTGATTGAGGACTCTTGTAGCCCCTAATTTCAACTAAGAACGTGTAATTCTACCGCATTGTATGTTCGCTGTGTCACGGTTTTCATTGTACTTTCTTCTCAGAACGCTTCTTTGATGCGGTTTCCTGCTCGCTGGGTTTAACGCCCTCTTTAGCGTATGACTTTTTGAAATGTGAAGGATATCCGTTTTGTTCCAAGTTCTTCGCGAATAGTTTCAGTTGGTGGGCAACGTTACCTAGTTTAGCAATCCGACGTTCCCCTGTAGATGTCATTTCGACCACATTCTATTGGTAAATCAACAGGATGAAGCTGGGAAAATTTATCTATCGACCTGACCACGTAGGTTTTCTTGAGGCACTGTGCTTAGCAGATCGATGTGTGATCAAGATGTTCAGTGACGGCAACAGCGTTTGAACCCCCTCTTATGTGTTACGGCAAGATTTGGAGACTGGACAAGCTGAAGGATCCGCTCCATATCTCTGTGTGTGTTACCAGAGCGCCATCTACACAGCCTCAATATTAGGTCAATTTCGACATACAGTCCATACTCTTTCTCCCCGTTTTTATTACGAAGAAATTAGCCAGAAATGAACTCATTTGGTTTCGTTTGGGGACACGCTGGTAAAAAGCGACTGTACCTCCACGGAGCACATGGGTTTATTCAGATTAAGGCACAACTACTAACCCACCGCTACGCACCATTACGCTCCCCAATAAACCACCGATGATGTCACCTCGACTGGTGAAGAGACGTTTGCAATCAAATTGTTCAGCTCAGCGAACAAGCCAACGACCATCGCAGTAAGTGTTTTCATGAGCAGAGTAAAAATACTGTGTGATATGTGACAGAAAACAAAAAAAGTAATGAGTCATTGCTAATTTGGCATTAGTCTCATTGAAATGCTAAATACCAATATCATGAACTGGGACGAACAAGGGTTAACTTATTTTGAAAGGTACGCGTCGCATTTCGTATGCTGGATGTTCAGCTGTCTCCTTCTGAATCAGTTGGTTTTCATGTTTCAATTTGGGGATTTTGTGGTCCACTTTTGCAGAGCACAGCCACCAATTTTTCTGCCTGAAGGACTGACCTGATGGGAGCAGATGGGATGAATCAAGTGGCTCATCGAACAGCAATTATAGGATACTTGTCGCTCCTGCGTCCACCGGTTTTCAGCATGATGAAAATTCGATTGGAAGGCCGTTTATTCGGGGCAGTCTGATTGCTGGTGAAAGGAAGGTTTTCGCTGCGGAGTCATTTATTAAAAAAATGCGAAACAGTTACAGATTACTGGTCAGGAATGCAAGACTCTCATATGAATCTTGTTTATAAGAACTGAATATCCGTCTTCTCGAACTCATCTTCCTGTAAACGAATGCCATAAAGCAATTCCACCTTTCAACAGACTCAAAGCGGAGTTAAGAGGGAAAATATATTACTCGCATATCTCATCATTAGTACCCACCGTTACACTGGTAGATTAAAAACTTTGGGCGACTGGTTGCTATGATGACAGGTTGATATCTTGATATACAGTTTAACAATCCACAAGAGGCCCGATTACGTTCAGCCACCGATGTTGGAATCGAGTGCCTCTTTTTAATTTCCTAAACTACTTATTAGTAGGCAAACGTTTAGCTTAATCTTTGGTTTTTCTGGTATACCCAGGAGTTTCATCAGAGTTCATGGCTATGGCTCACATGGTGGCGTTTCCCGTTATTGCGCAGGGAGTGACTTCTTGGAAGGACGGTTTGGAAATCCAACATGGGGATGCGGCATTAGTGTTAATCTGATTCTGAATACCTTACTACGACAGGGCTACCTACGCAACGAACTTGCCGGTTGAACCGCAAGGAACTACTCACAAGGGACGGGTTATTAAGTAGCTTTTACCAAACAAATCCTACCCTATTTCTCGCGGTTTCCCCCTCAAAGTTAATAAGATGAAACCGTTTTCAGACGCTGTGACCTGGTTGGTGATCCATTGGTCGTCCTTCTGAGGGAGCCGGTGGAACGCTGATTTTAAACCAGACAGATGTGGGAATATGGACTGTGTCGATTGATTCGGTGAAAAAGTTTGCCTCGGAATCCAAAGACAATACTGACAGTGCCACTGCATCATCTTCTGCGTGTCCTTTTCTGATCTACAGACCTTTACTCGGATGAATGTCTCATTGTATTGAGGAAGTTATTTGTGTTGAAACTTCGCCCAATTCGGTGAATACGAACAGGCTTCATAATCATTGTCTTCTCCAGTCCAAATTACGAACTCCATTTGCAAATATCTGAAGAAAACTTCCCATTTGTTGCCGGACTTTTGGAATCCGCTTTGCCATCCGCAACCACGCAGGTTGTAAACGAATACCACATCCATATCGCATGTCTGTTCATGGTTTTCAGATTTGGCTGTTGATCCAAACATGTCAATAATCGCATCAGGAAATCTTAGTTTCAGTACAGTTGAAAAGATTATAATCATTACATTGAGACAAAGCACCCAACTAGACGGTTCCGATAACATCCTCTTCCCATATACTTCAATAAGTTCTAACCACCGCTTAAAATGTCTAGATCGAACTTTACAGCCAGGTTCATTCCGTTGTCGACTATCTTCCGCCATAATATTTTGTCCCAGCAGGAGACTGAAATGTTTATACTGGCCCGTCTCACAGCTGCGTGTCATCTCCGGTCTTGGAGAGCATTATGAAGGCTTCACAGCATTCCAGAACAACACATTCCAACAGGCATCTTAGGTGGCAGTCAAACAACGGATGAAAAGACTGACAAATCGACTACAACTAAGTTCGATTGCGTTGTTGCCTTCTGTTGAAAACCACCGCCTTATCAAGAAGCTTAGGCCGGAGACGGGAAAAATCAGTCCGTTTTGTTCAACCTACCTAATGCAGCATGACTGCTTATCACAGATCTCGGTGATTAAATCACCAGGTGAATGAATTAGTTCAGTGAATTGATCGGCCCCTACCGGGACAGCTTCATCGAATTTTCGCTTACGATCCCGTAACCTTATACGATCTCAACTGCAGTACCTCGGACTTGGAGTTAGTCCTTCCGGATAGGAAGCTCTCAGCCAAAGTATACAAAATATGCAATCTTTACTTCGCAAATTAGTCTATCAACGTATTAGGCTCTGCCAGAATCTGCGTGGCTCGAATCCGACCTCTGCATCCCTATCTAGGCTTGGGAAACCTGGCAGTATCCCAGCTCTCGTGCTTCCTTCTGGTAGCATGGCAGCTACGCACCAAAAGGGTGCTACAGTTGAACGATATTTGAACTTGGACATATACATCCGAGTTGATCATCTCACTTCTGATATTTGTCCCGACTAATCAGTGCTGGACAACCTGGCAGATATCAATCATATCAATACACGGGTAAACTTATTCACCTTACTTTCGGTCAGTCGGCTCTCTATCGTTACGCCTGTGCACAACTGACCTAACCAAGCGAACGTCCCCCAGGATGTAGTAGTGTCGACCAGATTTTTAATTGGAACGTAGCTTCAAGCCTCGGAAAACCGCCGCCGCATGCTTTAATCGACCTCCACTCCGCTTTTGTCACAGGTGACTATATTGTCTCACTTTATTTTTGGTAGGGATCCCTCGAATTTCGCTGACTTGGTTCTATCCTTATACGTTCTTAGCGTAGTTCTAGTGAGAGTGTGCAACAAGAACCAGTTAAATCTGACGTTCACACCGGGGTACGGCAAAAATGCGCCTTTTTAACTACTTCATCAACTACATAGTAGGCATTGTTGTCAAGATTGCATTAGTTTGCATACGCATAATTGGAGTGCCCTGAACAAGTCTTTTAACTGGGTGACAAGACTCTTACCGCCACCATCTCATATCGAGAAGTACGTTGTGAAATTCGGTCTCTAAATCAAAGCCCCTAAGATAAAGCTTTGTCGGCGTGCCCACCAGGAAATCAAAAATCAATTAATAAATAAAGAACGCCTTGCGAAGGGGATAAGCGTCAGAACGAAGTACGTGTCTATCACACGTCCACCCATTCTATACTACTGGATATATCGCCAAAGCGGTGCGAGACCACAAGGAAACTGGAGGGACTAGGAAAACATATTGAGAAAAAGAGTGTGTCGATGGGGTCTCCAATGAAATAGCTCGGAAACATTAACATGTTAGTAGACGAGCTGGTACGTGCCTTGGACATCTGCGTTTGCAGATTGAGTAGCTGGAGCCTTAACATTAAGACTTTGGAACACGGGCCCCTTGCTCCGTTTAAAAAAAATATTTTTCACCATAATTCCGGATTTTGGAGATCCAGCAAGGGAAAACAGACCGCCAGCCCTAAGACAAGTTTGGAAAAATTGATGGCGAGCTTTGTAATTCATCCGGATGGTCACCAGATGGTGAAAGCACAATTCATGTAGTCCTAAATTTGTAAAAATGGCCCAAACACACAAATGTAGTACAGTGTGAACAAAGAAGTTTTCGGATCGCCTCACAAACGTCTACCAACCAACATGTAACCCGTCGGAATATTGCTTCGGAAGCATATTACCGACAAAAGGTCATGAAGATGTTGACAAAGCGTCCCATAAGTTGCGGGGTGTGACGTAACAAGGCAAAATAATCTTTGTATAGCACACTTTTAGCGGAAATCGACGCCAATTTTGGTGTAGCTTGACAATATCAGCGTTCACAAAACCAGTCACAGAAAGCTTTGAATAACGGGTCGGTTATTCAGTTATTAAACACAGTTGGATTTTTTCGTGGTTCATGTTAGCGTTTAGAGGGAAGCTAGAGAAAGATACTTAGACAAACCAAGGTTGTTTAGCGAATTCTATCACTGAGCCAGTTAGGGATTTGCCACTACTGAACTGTTTTCGAGGCATATTTCTAGACTCGGACTTTATTTTCGTGAAGAACTCGATTGTCAGTGTCTTCTGTTTATTTCAAAACTATCGTCTGCTTGAGGTTTTATCAGTACTAGTGTCACAATGTGAATGTTCGACACTAGATTATTGCGATCAGGCTATGTTGTACAGTGAGTTGCAAGGCTTATGGAACCGGTGACGGGTTTCCAGAGAACTTCAGCGCAATAAACAGCCGTTGGGCTTTGCACGTAGGCGCAGCGAACACTCATTTGCCGTTCTCAATGACACACAAGTCGCTCAGTGAAGATTAGGACAGGTGGCAACGTTAACATCACAGGCTCTGACGCTCCCAGCGACCGTATCGGCAAAAAGATCCAGAAGGTTCACGGCATCACCTGGGACGAGCAGTGCGGAGTGGACACGACAATTTTAATCGAGAAGGAAGCAACCGGCTAGTCGAATACCGGCTATTCTGTCACGGAATGTCAGGTTACGTGTGTCCGCTATAAGGTACAGCCTAAAAACAGTTCAATATGTACATTTGAACAAAATAGTAATGGGAATTTCACACTAGATCGTTTTCGTTGTTGCACGAAATTTCACAAAGCTGGTGTTGTTGCACGCTGTTTGGTCAAATTCGGTTAGTTCACACAGACTCGGTTTTCGGGAAAGTTAGCATCTTATCAGACAAGTCGGAAAATTCCAGACATTAGTCTGGAACTCGAAATTTCGGAAAATATATTATTCCAATGCTCCAGTATTGCATATCCAGAACGTTGTTTTTTTTTCAGGGTCCCATGATTCCTGGTTGTTTCTAACGGACATCCTTTTATGGAGAGACACACAGAAATTGACTTCCCGCCCACAGCAGTTATTTGTGGAGTCCACGCATTGTCCATTGGCGCATGTCGGTGGTGCTTCGAATAGTTGGGTGGTGACTGATTAACAAATATTTGGTGTTCGCTAACACAGGTGGATTTGCGTTGCCTTACCTCATAGGGTTGCGATATGACTCCCACATCTGCAGTCACTTGAGTTGGAAAGATCGATCGAACCGAACGGTGGACAGGACAAGGTATGTTCCAAGGCCAGTTAGTTATGAATACACTTCCTCTGGTATCTCAAATTTGCAGGTGACCTTTCGTGACTTGGTTGAATAAACTATACTTTTACATTCCTGCAGGAATTTCTGACGCACTTTCAAGCCCACATTCTTGGTACGCAGTGTAGTTTACTGGTGTTTAACCAGATGACTTTTGAGCGGAACTGATTAGGATAGAATGAGTTGTGCACCTACTGTTTGAGCTAAACTGCGTTGGCAGTTAACTTTGAATTTCTACAGGAATATTATCAAATTAGGTATCTGCTGTGTGCAGTGTGTCGTGACTCTACTACGGAGAGGGTAGTGTGGATACGGGAGTTTCATCCCAGTGGCAACGGGAAGCGGGTTTCGAATTATTTGTATGATCAATTTAATTGATAATGTTGATCGCATCCGAATAGAACAGAATTACGCTGCACTTTTAAAAGCCGAAGGCCAAAATCTGGGTTGTCTTGACCTTGCATATGAACTTGAAAACGGAAAGCAAATGAATCAGCTGATATGAAGCAGGCTAGGGAAGAGTAGCCATGGTTTGAGGAGTATTAATAATAACATTGGGGTAGAGGCAAAAAGGCTCAGAGTTTGAAGCAAAGGCATCTGGGCTTCTTATTGGACGATACCCACCTTCTTTTATGTTGCAACCATTCTTTCGCATCAGTTGAAACGCTCCACGCTTTTTTTTTTTAAACAGAAATCCATCAGGAAACCCATTGATATTGACTATCTTCCAGCCGCTAAGAACAGAAGGATTACATAGGCGCCGGACCCAGAACCACACGGAAAACCAAACAACCGAGGATCAAAGAAAGTAAACGAGGGAAGGCAAAACAAGAGTTAGTCTGATTGACACATGAGAAGAAAACTTCAAATTGCGGAAAATGATAAACCAGAACAACGGATCTGGTGAAGCATCAGAGTTGGCGTGATATCACTGGTCCATTTGAACTAAAACCTAAAACCATCACTGAGGTCACGTGGCCTTGACTGTTTGGTTTATGGCCAGGGTGCGGAAAGGCGTAATTGGGGATGATGAAATGGATGGAGTAGCAATACGGATGAATTGTAACATGAATCTCGGAATCATGGTTTACAGTGTAATTGTAGACACGGACTAGTGTCACTGTTCTACTGGAGTCGGGTTCAAAAGTTCCTTGAAAAAGTGAGTTGATGACAGCACACAAGCCGGAACGCGAACTGTGCAGGAAATTATTGACTTTGTGGGGGGCACGGACCGGAAGTCCACCGAGATGGTAGATCGGTCACGCCCTGTGGGGAAAGTCACCCTGTTACGTTGAACCATGTGGCGTTCGCACACTCGCCAGCCCTTCAATAGCACGGGTGCATCGCACACCGTCGGTGGTTCTGAGTCTGGCCTTCAATTAAAGAAATCCATAAAGGAGTACTGTTGAGCTTTGTTTGTCCCTGCTTGTGGCAGACTCGTCCCGGAAACGCCACAAACAACACATGACAAAAAAAACAGACCATTCACTTGTCCAAAAAAATCTTAAAAACACTTGGGATAGCCTGAAGAAACTCTGCGATGCCCACGGCCTACGTCGACATACAAAGCTGTAGCTGCCTTTGTCATGATTGGAGTTGCACCGCACCGTCAGCCAAACAAAAGACACACCTACCTACTGCTCCCAGGGGTCGATACATACATACATTCAAGAACTATTCCCAAGTTGTTATGGCCTTTGTAGCCAGATTCCTCAGGACTCTCTGTGTATAAATCTAATGCTGTACAAGCTCTCCGGACACACATGAATCACCGATATCTTGGGAGCAATTTTAAATTGGATCACCTTCTGACAAAGCCAATTGTCGAAGTTTTTTTGCCTTCCGTTTCAGGAAGACAGCTAACCAAAATACTGGCACACAGCACCCAGTATTCAAGTGGCATTTGCTTTGCATCAGCCGCCCTTTGAACAATATTTGGAATTCAGTTAGTTCACATCTAAATATTCTGATTTGGCTTAGCCGTCTGTCGTTCTTGCATAGCTTTCTGGGAGTGATGCCGTCCTTATAAAAAGGAAATTCAATTGGTATGTGGGCTGTCGACTTCCCATTTATTATTTTGACGAGGTACAACTTGGAACAGTTTGCTATTCTTGGTTAAATTCACTCATTTGAAGATCAATTTGCTTTCATTCTGTGTTGACTTGATGAAGGACTTCATAACCGGGAGATTTAAATGGAATACAGTTTAATCCCCTTCCAACCGTCAAATTTATTTTTAAATGGATGCTCTTCACCAATTTCATACAGTTTGGGACGGAATCCTGATGGGCCCCAAGAAGTGTCAAACCGTTCATGGGCTGCAAAAGACTTTTCAGCGACCTTATGAGTAGTGTGTCCCCTTTTCATTCTTAGGATGTCTCGTTGAG